TAAATTTCAAGCGATTACGTTCGTTGGTAATCATTTATTGATTGTTAGTTGTATGAAATCATGAAGTCCAGCTGACGTGATCCAAGAGTACAGATGTCTGAATTCTACAGTTAACTGTATCCATCAAGAAATTGATAGGAGATTTCTTAATACCGAAATCTATATTTAGTTACTATCATTTTCTCCTTTTTTTATCAATGAATTACAATTAATCATATTATCAAAATTCTTGCCTTTGTAATTAGGGGGAATAAAACAAAGACATTATTCATAAAATAATATGTCCTGAAATTTAGGACAACCTTCCACGAAGTTGAGTCACTGGCTCGCTTAACTTTGAAGAATTATCGTCATTTTATGTTACATTTCTTTCAAGACATCTCTCCGCCCGCCACACCGTCGAAATTACCAACCGGGACAAGTCAAACGAGCCTCCAAATGCCTCTTTTTACCTCAAAATTACTAACAAGCCCTTACTATTTCCCAAAGACAGTAGTGTCATTTTCGTCCAACCAAAATATAACCAAAACACGTAACCCCTTTTTTCCCTCTGTCCATAACCCTTCCGATTCACCTCCACCCCTCCGCCCTCTCTCTCTCTCTCTTCCTCTTTATTTTTTTCTGAAATTATGGCGCCGTCACCGTTACCGTTAAAAGAAGCGCAGTCAACGAGGTCACGGCGCAAAGTGGCGCCAGCTGCTGCCGATGGGGGCGACTCCGGAGACAAGTTGGAACAACTCCTCCTTTCATCCGCTATCTGTAACGGCGAGGACCTCGGCCCTTTCGTACGTAAAGCGTTTACTTCTAGTAGGCCTGAAACCCTCCTCCACCACCTCCGTCACTTCGCTCGTTCTAAAGAATCCGAAATCGAAGAAGTTTGCAAAGCTCACTACCAAGATTTCATCCTCGCCGTCGATGATCTTCGATCTCTTCTCTCCGACGTCGATTCTCTCAAATCCTCTCTGTTCGATTCCAACTCAAGACTCCAATCAGTGGCCGGTCCTCTCCTTTCTTCCCTTGACTCCTTTGTCGAAGCTCAAAACGTCTCCAAGAACGTGGACTTCGCTTTGACATCGGTGATTTCGTGTATTAAGCTAATGGAGCTTTGCTTAAGAGCAAATCATCATCTCTCAAACGGCAGTTTCTACATGGCGTTGAAATGCGTAGACTCGATCGAAAACGTGTTCCAAGTTAAAACGCCATCGTCTACTTTAAAAAGGATGCTAGAGAGGAAGATTCCAGAGATTCGATCTCATATCGAGAGAAAAATCAGCAAAGAGTTCGGCGACTGGCTTGTGGAGATTCGCGTGGTGAGTCGCAATTTAGGGCAATTAGCCATCGGACAAGCCTCGGCTGCTAGGCAACGCGAAGAGGATCTAAGAATGAAGCAAAGGCAAGCCGAAGAACAGAGTCGACTTAGCTTGAGAGATTGCGTTTACGCTTTAGAAGAAGAAGATGATGAAGGTGGACTCGGCGGAGACGAGAATGACGGTTATAGTAACGGTAATAACGGCTTGTTAGGGTTTGATTTGACTCCTCTTTATAGAGCTTATCATATACATCAAACTTTAGGGCTCGAAGATCGATTCAAGCAGTACTATTTTGAGAATAGGAGGCTTCAATTAACGTCAGATTTTCAAGTATCTTCCATGACTCCATTTCTTGAATCTCATCAAACATTTTTCGCGCAAATCGCTGGGTTTTTCATTGTAGAAGATCGAGTGTTGAGGACAGGAGGGGGTTTGATTTCGAAAATGGAAGTTGAGAATTTGTGGGAGACTGCTGTTAGTAAAATGTGCTCGGTTTTAGAGGATCAGTTTTCTAGGATGCAGACTGCTAATCACTTGTTATTGATTAAGGATTATGTGAGTTTGTTAGGAGTTACTTTGCGTAGGTATGGGTACCCTGTTGATGCATTGCTTGATGTTTTGAGTAAGCATAGGGATAAGTACCACGAGTTGTTGTTGTCTGATTGTCGGAAGCAGATTGCGGAAGCACTTGCTGCTGATAAATTTGAGCAGATGTTGATGAAGAAGGAGTATGAGTACTCGATGAATGTGCTGTCTTTCCAAATACAAACATCGGATATTATTCCAGCATTTCCTTATGTTGCGCCATTTTCATCTACTGTGCCTGATTGTTGCCGGATTGTGAGATCTTTTATTGAGGATTCTGTTAGTTTTATGTCTTATGGTGGGCAGTTGGATTTCTATGATGTTGTTAAGAAGTATTTAGACCGGCTTTTGAGTGAGGTTTTGGATGGGGCTCTTTTGAAGCTTATCAGTTCATCTGTCCATGGGGTTTCTCAGGCAATGCAGGTTGCAGCAAATATGGCTGTTTTGGAGCGTGCTTGTGATTTCTTCTTTCGTCATGCGGCACAACTTTCAGGCATTCCTTTGAGAATGGCAGAAAGGGGTAGGAGGCAGTTTCCCCTTAACAAAGCCCGTGATGCTGCAGAAGAGATGCTGTCTGGGATGCTCAAGACAAAGGTTGATGGTTTCATGACATTGATTGAGAATGTGAACTGGATGACCGACGAGCCTTCACAGGGTGGTAATGAATATGTAAATGAGGTCATAATATATTTGGAAACTCTGGTTTCTACCGCACAACAGATACTGCCACCTCAAGTTCTTAAGAGAGTTTTACAAGATGTTCTTTCTCACATATCAGAGAAGATTGTTGGGGCTTTACTTGGGGATTCAGTTAAAAGGTTCAATGTAAATGCTATTATTGGGATTGATGTAGATATTCGGTTGTTAGAGTCTTTTGCAGATAACCTAGCTCCTCTATTCTCTGAAGGGGATGCGAATCAGTTGAAAAATGCACTTGCAGAGTCAAGGCAGTTGATCAATTTGCTTTTGAGTAATCATCCAGAGAATTTTCTGAATCCAGTAATTAGAGAGAGGAGTTACAATACTTTAGACCACAGGAAACTTGTGACAATCTCAGAGAAGTTAAGGGATCCTTCAGATCGGCTATTTGGGACCTTTGGGAGCAGGGCTGCCAGGCAGAATCCAAAGAAGAAATCTCTGGATGCGTTGATAAAAAGACTCAAGGATGTGAGCTGATTTGTCTAGGAGCTGTATGTATGTCTATGTTCTTTTGCCTTTTACCTCTGTTTGATTGCAATTGCCATTATTTCTTAGTTGTTTGTTGCTAATTTATTTGCTTCAGAGAAGGCAGAGCAGTTTTTTTTTTCCTTCTGGTTGTATTAAATTAATAGATGTGAATTAAAAATTTTGTTTTGTATGTATCATTTGCATACATACCATTAGTTGTATTAAATTATTTTTGGGCCATGAGTGAATTTTTTCTTACCAATTGCATTAACACCCTTTGGTATATGTCTATAAGTAAAAAGCTA